GAAATGTTTTGATGAGTATAAATTAGTTTCAACCTTACCAAGTTTCTCTGCCATCAATCAATTTCCCTAGAAATGTAATTTTGCTGTTTTAAGTGTATATTTTGTCTTGAGGAGAACAAATAAGTTTCAGTTTCTACCAAGCCTCTCCATTGTCATGGGTTTCTTTTGTCATAGGTTTATGAATTAACACATTGGTAGAATTCAATAAGGAATTTTTTTTTGGACCGGAAATAAATAAATAAGAAAAATTTACGTTTGAGACCTCAAATTCGAACTTTCCGACGAGCTTATTATCAAGAACTCTGGATGTCTCTCGAGTTTTAGTTTTAGGGCAGGTGTGGATACTCGGGGTATAGGGGCAAAGCTATATAGCAATGGAATTATGATTTTGAAAATATAACATTTTTTTTTTAATTTTGCACTTCTATTTAGACATAATTTCCTATTTACTCTAGCATATCAATCATTTACCTGTATTAATTTTAGTGCTACAGTCGAACGTATATCATTTATAAACTTCTACTAATGATATAATCTATCAAATGTTTATCTTTGATATAGTACGATCATTTGCTATATTTAAAAATTTTAAATGTTATTGCTATGTTTGTAATTAGTTGCACTTTTTCTTAATCAATTGCGTTACAGTTAAGTTGGTGTTTATAGACAATTCTTTAATACTACTATACTTCACATTATTCTTAAATCATGCTCACGTGACATACAATAAATACAAATAATATTCATACTAAAATTTTCCCAAACAATTACATCTTCATAACGGTATATTGTTTACTTTAGATCCTGTTATGGATGATTTTCTACAATTCAGATTCCCTTTATTTAAGGAATTCAAATGGAAGATATCTTGGCCTTATGATTATGATATCCTATATTCAAGATATATTGATTGCCTCAAGATTCTCCCCAGATTCAGATAACCAGATTTCCTAGATGTATCAAGATTCGAATTCCACAATCCTTAAGGATCAGGATTCAACTCCTATAAATAGGGAAGTAAGTCAAACCCTAAAGGTATGCTCACAACACTCTACACTTTATACTCAACTACTCTGATTCTGACTTAAGCATCAGAGCCTGTGTGGCAAGAGCCACACCGATCTTTAGTGTTATTTTGTTTTGCAGGTCTCGTCGATCCCTTTATTTTAGAAGATTGATGCGAATTTGGCGGAATCCCAGAAGGCCAAATTTATGCATCAACAATTGGCGCCGTCTTTGGGAACGACTAAGATCTAAAAGTCAAGACGATTGACGACGAATTGACCGAGAACTACTTAGATCCAAGGAGATCTGGGGAGAAACGAATCGACATGTATTCTGGAAGCAGACCACAACTTTCTAACAACGAATGCCATACGACTCGAAACAAATCAATGAGTTCTGAGACAGGATCCAGAACGAACGAATCAACAAATCCCAGGACAAATCCTGGATGAGATAACGATGGATTCCAAAACAGACTCTGGGATAAACGAGTCAACAAATCCCATAAAAGAAAAAGCAACTGATTAATATATGGAGTTTCTACTTCAGACGATGGTAAGTTTGTTGTGTAATTCTGGTAGTTCATAATTACGAGAGTCAGGATTGATTTTTTGGTAACTGCATGTTAATAGTATGTTTCCAAAGATACTTACTCGTTTGTGATTTAAAAAAGCTCCTAGCATTTGAAATTTAATTAATTCCTTATTACTTGAGCAATTATCTTTTTATAAATTATGAATAAGACTTTTGACATTTGAAATATAATTAAATCCTTACTACTTGAGTGTTTATCTTTTATTCTAAATGAAAATCCCTCGAGTGGGAGCATGGGTAGTAAATCAACAGCTGGTCAAGGAACTCGATAGGGACAAACCTAGAAGCATGCCGATAAGCTAAAAGCCAATAAGTGAAACCAGGGAAAAGAATCCCAAGGTGCTAAAGAAGGCATGCGTACAGGCCCAGCAAGTTTAAAACAGAAAACAGGCAGGCCTAACCAATCAATGAAACCCACGGGTAGAAAACCATATGGCAAAAGCCAAAATAGGTTAAAAACCCGATGGTGTTGATTAACTTGGGGTAAAAAACCGGCAGAAGCCAAATATGTTAGAAACCTAAGGGTGTCAACTAAACTCAAGGTATAAAAGCCATTGGCAAAAGCCAAGTGGGTTAGAAACCCGAGAGTAAACCCTGAGGTACAAAACATGGGCAAAAGCTGGAAACCCAAAGGAAGTACCACTGGCCCTGTTAAAAGTTAGATCCCACGGCCAAAATCTAACAGTTAAAACTAACCGTATAGCAGTGCCTAAGAGACTTGATCGCAGCCAACGACAACAAATTGAGGCTATGATAGCCAGCCCATTAAACGACAACCGACTACAACAAAAGGGTATCGACTAGATTCAGGGTATAAAACCATTGGCAAAAGCCAAATAGGTTAGAAACCCAAGGGTAGACCAAGAAACTTGATTACAGTCAATTACAAAAGGGTATGGGGGCTATAACAGTCAGCCCATAAAAGGCGACAATTGACAACAACAACTGCTCTCAGTATTAAGAGACTTGATGAAGACCAACAGCAACAAAATACTCTCAAAGCAGAACTTTGACAATCTTTAACTTTGAGAGTGGGGTCTACTGTTATGGATGATTTTCTACAATTCAGATTCCCTTTATTTAAGGAATTCAAATGGAAGATATCTTGATGGCCTTATGATTATGATATCCTATATTCAAGATATATTGATTGACTCAAGATTCTCCCCAGATTCAGATAACCAGATTTCCTAGATGTATCAAGATTCGAATTCCACAGTCCTTAGGGATCAGGATTCAACTCTTATTATAACTACTTTACAACTTTTTTCTCTTGTCTCTCATGTATTAATTAGACCTATACAATTTTTAATTAATTTTTTTTATATATTTTTATAATTTCTCCTTCATTTATACTTCAATTTTTATTAGTTGATGTGATTTTATTATATAATATTATAAATTTATATTAATTAATATCAATAGATATTATTTGATGTAATTTTATTTAAATTATTCATTATTTATTAATATTAAATAAACTGTTATAATAAAAAATATTTACTATCAATAATATAGTAATAAATTAAATTAAAATTTATTATTATTTTAATTAAAAAAGATTAGCACATATTTGTAATTAACAATAATGTATTTATAATTAATTAAAAAAGAGAAAGGGGTATACTAGTAATTGTTATATATCTGATTCCGATTCTGATTTTAGACAGTTTTAGTGAACAATATCAAACAAATTCTGATTACGATTACAAAAAAGTTCGGGTAAAACCTTCAAATTTCGATGATTTTCATTCCGATTCATTCCCAGCGGTAAGTAAACGGGGCGTAAAAATATAATTATCTCAAAAGAAATGCGCCATATTATTTTTGAAAAAAAAAGAAGATAAAATGACAGATGTATATAACTATATTAATTTAATTTAATTTAATTCATAATTATTTTTAGATTTTTTATTCTCAACAACTTATATAGAATAACAAATTCCTCAAAAGTACTTGAGCTCAAGTTTTCATAAAATAAAATTTGCTGGACTACTATTCTTAATTCAACATTTGAAAATGAGTAAATTAGTAGATTTCCATGTCTTAAACAAACTTTTGGGAAAAAAAAATTGACCTGAAAAACCTGGATTTTTTTTCCATATTATTATTTTTAAAATATATTTATTTTGAAATTTATTTTTTTAATATTGTAATTTTTACTAGTTTTTTAGTGCAACATGTTGAGTTGGGAATTCGAACTCATAACCTTGTGCTTGGACATATATGTTATAATCAGTTGAACTATATTTAGGTTCATCAATTTTTATTAGTTGAAGAGACGATTTTGCCATGAAATCGTGTCTTTAAGATATGATTTCAACCATCTATGTTTTTTTTATTGTTTTAGTCCTTTTTTAGTATGAATTATAATTTTATAAATTCAAGTACTAATTTTTGGCATAATCAGATAATTATATTATAATAATACTTATTTTTTTTTTGGAATAAAACTACTTTAATTTATTTTTTTATCTTAACAATAGGAAATTGGGATACATGACCCCTCCCATAAAACATTTTGGATTTATGACTCTCTCTGGTATTGGTGACACTTTCCACTTTTTATCTGTGTAAAATTATCAAAATATCCATATTTTATTTTATTTTTTTATCTCCCCTCTTAGCCCTATTTGTTTCCAATCAAATCTTGGACATTTAATGTATTGGCGCGAAATTTATGAAATATTGACTTTTCTTTTTGTAATTAAATCCGGACAAATCTTATGTAATTAATTACATTCAATTTTCCATATTAAACAATTAAATATCTAATATTCCATTTTGTAATTTCAACTTTTGTTATCGATTTTTTCCATATTAAATTTTTAATTAACTATTTAAGTTAGATTTTTTTCTATTTGTAATTGATTTTTCAAGTTTAAAAGTTAGCTTTTTAAGTTTGTAATGGATTATTGTGAGAGATTTGTGGAGGGCATAAACATGAAAAAGAAATTTGTTTTTTCTTATAAGGAGGAGGGAGAGATTGTTCATTTTGAAACATAAGGGTACCGTAATAATTTCACATTTAAAAATTATCAAAAAGGTGGAAAAAAAAGGAGAGTGGAGTCGCAAACTAACCAAAAGGGGTCATAAATCCAAAATGAATTATTGAAGTTGTCATAAATCCCAAGCAACCTCCCGTGTTCCATTTTTTTTTGGTGATATTTTAAAATAAGTATTATACAATATAATTATCTGATTATTTCTGAATTAATATTTGAATCTATAAAACAATAATTCAGAATTAAAAAACAAACAAATGGTTGAAATATTTCAATTGTAACAGATAAAAACTCCAATATTAAAAAAAATTAAAAATAATAATATTAAAAAAATATGAATAACTCAACTCATGTATCTCAAAATGGGTTCAATTGGTTATCTAACCACAATTTTTTTTGGATGGGACAAATTTAACAATAAAATTCAAATGTTCGTTTTATCCAATCTAACATCACTTTCTTTTTCTTTTTAATATTACATAAACACTTACCCAGTTAAAATTTCAACCTAACTCAACAATAATTGACATATACCTCCAAACAAGAACCTTTAATTTGTTACGAGAGAGATAATAGGCTAAGATGAGCTAATAAAATTTTCTCTGTTTAATATGTATTTTCAATTTTCTAATTTTTTAAAAACTAAAAACAAAAAATGGTTAGCAGACATGTTTTGGTTTTTTGTTTTTTAAAAATAGAAAACAAAAAATGGTTATGATTTTTGTTTTTTAAAAACAGAAAACCAAAGATCAAAAATTAAAAATAATAAAAACCAAAAACCAAAAATCAAGCAGGCCTTAACTTCGATTAAATCAGAATAAGTTCTTTGGGATTTTTTCAATTGATTAAAGGGATAAAAGTTATAATAAATTTATTAAAAAAAATATGTTTGAAAAAAAAAACCTTAATTAGACATTAAAAAAAACCAGAAAACTTTTTCGGGAAAGAACATATGCCAAGGAGCAAAAACGTGGCAAAATCCTATCCACTTCTCCAACTTCCAACGGTTTCATCAGAAATTGTGAAGTTCGCCCTTTAATATGGAACGCGGAGCTCTGCACATTCGAGTCAACATCTCCATTGGAGCTCTCGCAATGTTTCTTCTCAAGGTAAAAATTCTTCATCTTCAATCATTTCTCTCTTTTAAGTCTTGTAATTTTATTACAGCAATTTAATATGGTACGATCACCGATGCGATTTTGTATTTGAAACTGTTGCCCCATTCCCGTGGTTGTTGCAGGCCTGGAGAGCCACAGCTTTCGGGGTCTATGGCTTCCTCCACTTCACCAAATCTGGGTTCATGTAACAATCTTTCTTTCTTTCTTCTCTTTAATTTTTTAATGGAGGCTGTTTATTAGTTAGGATTAGAAGGGGAACGAGTTCCATTTTGAAATGTGGGGGTTAGGCGAATTTGGGTTGCTTTGGGGTGAGTTTGGAATGATTTCTGAAAGAGTTTGGAGTTCTTTTAAGCAATTAAAAGCATTTTTCAAGATTCTTATAGATAGTCCCAAGTGTAGAGAACTTAAGGAGTTCTTCTTCCAAATGTGCTTGTAGAGGAAGTGCTTCTTTTCAGAGGTTGCTTTTCTCAAAAGCCTTGGTTTCACTTTGATTATGGCAGTTTATCTGCTGATTACGCGCTCTTCAGCTATTTACTTCCTTGTAGAGATTCATGTTGCGATTTTATAGCTTTTTGGGGATTTAGACGTGAATGTGTTTTCTTGTATGTCACTCTAACCCAAAAGTTTAAGCTGATATAGTATTGTATACTTCATTTTTTTAATTCATATTCTGAATTTAACCCTGTCTCTCCCTCGTGGGCTAGGAGTCTCAACATATTAATTGAGGAGGAATAACATTATAGAAGTTTGAACCTAAGATCTTTTGCTATGATATCATGTTAAACTAGTTCCGAACCTAAAAGTTTAAATCGATAGGTAAAGGTATTTAAAAAAATATTCTTAATACTCCCCTTTACTTGGTCGTTTGGAAATTAGTGTGAGTCCCAACAAGTGACTATCAATATTAACTGGGAAGGAAATGATGTAAAAGAAGTTTGAACTCATGACCTCTTACTTTGATACCGTTAAACTATTACTAATTTAAAGTTGATAGATTACAATATATTTTATCGATTATTCATATTTTTAACTCATGCCATTGTTAGCTTAGTGCACTGATCAGAAGTTCTTGTGATGTTCAGAGATTAACAGCTTTATACATATGATTTAAATTTCTTTAATGTTTTATGCCTATAGTGAACATTCTAAGAAGTTCAAACCAGAGGATATGCAAACGAGCATTGAAGGGAAAAACTGCATTGTTACTGGGGCAAATTCCGGGATTGGATATGCAACTGCAGAGGGTTTAGCATCACGGTAGTGATCTCATTTTTTTTACTTTCATTTTTTGGTTTCTGTTACATTTCTTGAGTTGATGAGGAATGGAAACTAATGTAAAAAATGTTGATTCATTGTGGAAGCATGAGGTTTCTGATGTTTTTGCAGTGGAGCTACTGTCTATATGGTATGCCGCAACAAGGAAAGAGGAGAAGCTGCTCTCTCTGAGATTAAGTCTAAAACAGGAAACCAGAATATTCATTTGGAGGTAATTCTTTTCAGGCCACCATTCACATAGAAATGTGGGTTCTAAAATAAATCTGATTTCAGCATTACAATTTTAACAAAGTATTGTCTTTACTACTTGGTGGTCGTCTACTCTAACCTAAGAAGCATAGCAACTTTAGTTTGGGTAATGTATCCATGTTTGACACTTCTTGGATACTCCACACTTGTTGGACATGTATTGAATATTTATTGTGTCAAACACTAGTTGTACAAATTAAATATAAGTTCGATACTTGTTAGGATATTGTAATAAGCATAAATAAATAGATACATGATTTTTTTTTGAGATAAATACATCAAATTCGTCGTTTTTTTTTCTTTTATTTTTTTTATTATTATTTTTTAATAACGGTGAGTCAGAGCTTTGCTCCCCTATACATAGGGGCACCTGCGCCCGCCGTAGGGCCCAAATCTGGGAGACATTAAGGATTTTTGATATTAAGTTCACTGGAAGGTTCGAACTTGACACTTCTAGGCGAATATGACCAAGAGGTCCCAAGTCCTTGCCAACTGGGCCTTGGGGGCTACATCAAACTCATTCTTTTAAACATATAAATGGATATGCTTATTGACTTAATTTCCTTGTATAAACATGATATATTTTTAATAAACGTGTCCTTGTTGTGCTTGTGTCCTATATTTCTAAAACCTAACGTGTCACCGTGTCCATGTTGTACTAGTATCTTGTGTCTGTATCTGTACTTCTTAGCCTCCCACTTTTGTAACTCTTTTCTTGTAGATGATAATTGCAGCAAACATTCTTTTAGGTTCTATTGAACTGTTCTGATTTTTCTCTGTCTCCTTATGCTATCATTAATAATATTTTGGGATAGATTAAATGACTGAGGATAATAAGTTTATGGCAATTTAGTTGGGATAACCGGGTGCACCTACTAATCTCTATCCTCAATTTTATTTAAAAAAAGAATACATCTTTACAGCGTTAGCTTTCCTGTTATCTGATAACTTCACTTTAGCTTGCAGGTCTGTGATCTTTCATCAGTCAGTGAAATTAAGTCATTTGCCTCAAATTTAACTTCAAAGGATGTCCCAGTCCATATTCTGGTAATAAATTTCTGTGTTTGTGTACCAGTTCCCTTTTATTTTCAAAAAATTGTATGTCATAGTTTTAACCCATTTTTTGCATATTGCCTGCAAACTTAGTATCATTTGCTTCATTTCTCATCAACTGGCTCTTTTGTCTATCATCCACAAATTTATCACGTTTCCAAAAGTCATGCCAATCACACACTTAGTTGGTTTCACTTTCTACCTCATCCTTGATTGTTGATAGATAAGATTTTGACTTAAATTATCAACTAAATATGTAGATTAACAATGCTGGCTTGCTTGAGCATAATCGAATTATGACGCCTGAAGGGTACAATCTCTATTATTTGTGTGCTTCACCTCTCTCTCACCTTTCTCTCCGTCTCTTTAACATTTTCCTCTAAAGAGTGTTTATTTGAGTACTAATAGGGATATATTGGGGATGTTATTAGGATATTATTAGTCTCTGTATCACTTTACTGTATTCTTGTTAGAGGAGTACTAGGGTGAGTTTGACATACCTTCTAATTTAAGCATTTTTTTTAATAAAAAAATGCACTTTTTATAAGAATAGTTAACTAATATACCTGTGTTACATTTTCTTAAAAGTGATTTTAATCACTAGTAGTTCCTAAAAGTAATTTTACAAATGCTAAGTTATCATAAAATGATTTCTGGTCAATCACTTTAGAATTATTTTTTGGATAATCAAGTTTTAATGCCATTCTTCAAAAAATGATCATAAACCAATTTGATTATTTCAAAAGTGATTTTTGGTCAAACTCTCTAGATTTTTTTTTTTTTGATAGAAAACTAAAGAGATGTATTAAACTCTCTAGATTTTTAACAAAACACTTTTTGCCCTCCAACATCACTAAGGAAGTTAATCCAAACACACTCAGTGTCTTTGGCATGCCTTTTGAAGAAGGTGCTTTTAAGTGAAACACTTCTTATATTAGCAGTTTTGGAAGAAAATTAGTTAAATGGATCTAAAAGAATGCTATGTGGTTTTATTTGTTTTTAAAATTTCTCAAATCACTGTTGACTATCAAAAATTATAAAAAGTGCGTTTAATTGGTCAAAAGTACTTTTTACTCTTTAAAATTTTAATCAAACACTATGCATTCATTTTCAAAGAAACACTAGTTGTTATAAGCACGTTAAAAGCAGGCCAAACACACACTTGACAGAAATATATTGGAGATGTTATTAGAATATTAGTAGTGACATAACTGTAATTACTTGGTAGTTGGTCAGAGTGGATGGTTACCTATAGAGTTAGGGGTTTGGGAGGATAGAAGGCAGAATTTTGTAAAATCAGTCTGTGGTGGATTCAGAATTGTATCAGAAAGATGGCCTATGGAAACGCCTATTAGTATTGTAGTTTTCTATTTGATGTTACAATGTCGTTTTCTTATAATCAGGATCCTAACATAGTAATTGTTAACAATTTCTGAATTCCAGGTTCGAATTGAACTTTGCTGTGAATGTATTAGGCACTTATGCAATGACTGAATCAATGATGCCATTGCTGGAGAAAGCTGCCCCTGATGCTAAAGTCATCACAGTTTCTTCTGGTGGAATGTATTCAGTTCCCTTGACCAATGATCTGCAGGTGGGCTGCTTTAATAACATTCCGAGCTTTCTTGGATTGCTGACCTGATTCTTACTCGATTTGTCGACTTGTTTCCTTGTAGTTTAGTGATGACAAATTTGACGGGGTCAAACAGTATTCACTTAACAAACGAGTTCAGGTTAGTAATTTTTGTTTATTACTTCCTTTTTTGATATATGTTGTTCTAAAATCATTGTGCTTTTGATTTACTGTATGCTGTTAGAATGCAATTTCGTTTTTTATGTTTCACTTTCAAATATTAACGATAAGACGTGTACTACATTGAAAAAGAACAAATAACATATTGACTCTCGTATTTCATTTGTTTCATTTTAGCTTTTCTGATATTTGTATAGACTTATCAATCTAGTTCTCAATTTTAAGCCAAATTGTAGCAAAAAGCTAACGTGACTGCATAGAAGTTGATACAGTATAACATTAGCTTTTGTATATATTGCGCCAAAAAGTACGAGATGTTACACAGAGACGAAAGTGAAACAAATATATTGTGCCAAAAACCCAACAAGGCGCGGCACTTCTTAAGGTTGCTTGATTCAGCCTCTGCTGCATTGTGTTGAAACTTGCATAATTCCACTCATCATTGTGTGATGACTTACTTAAGGTAAGTGAAGCTTTCATTTTTCAGGTGGCTTTGACAGAGAAATGGGCAGAGATGTACTCTAACAAAGGGATTGGATTCTACTCGATGCACCCGGGGTGGGCCGAAACACCTGGTGTTGCCAAATCTTTGCCAAGTTTCTCTAAATCGTAAGGATAACTAGCAAAATCTCTGATACTTTGTAAAGTGCTTCAAACAGTTTGCTATTATCAATTTATTTTTCGATCATTTCAGGCTCTCGGGGAAGCTAAGAACGAGAGAGGAAGGGGCCGATACGGTTGTTTGGTTGGCTTTACAGCCAAAAGAGAAGTTGGCGTCAGGAGCATTCTACTTTGATAGAAGTGAAGCGCCAAAGCACTTGGCGTTTGCTGCTACAAGCTCCTCTCATGCTGCAATTGGCTCTATAGTTGATAGTCTTCGTTCTTTGTCTGGTTTGCCTTAACAATCCAAATGATAAGAGTGTTTACTTTATATTTTATGAAAACGTAGAAACTCTTAAATCATGCCCAAAAGATAAAATCTGGAGGGAATGACATTACAGGGTTCGAACAAACTTCCTGTTCTGATACTATGTCAACTAGAATATTCCATTTTCCTTAGGGTGCTCTATAAAGTATACTTCTAGGATGTTTCTTAGGCATGTCTCAAGATCTTCTATATATGTATGTGATTGGTGTTTCCTTTTCCATAGGGAGGAGAAATTTTGGATGAGTTAATGGGTTAAAATATTCTTTTGCTCCCTATATTTTCTTTAGCTTTGGTTCATTTTGGTCTCTATATTTTTAGAAATGGTTTGTTTAGGTTCTTACTGTTAACCTACCGCTAAAAAACTAACAGAATGGGGATGTAGCCTTGATTGAGAACTACGTGGCAAATTAAGAAACCTCATCCTGTGCAAAAGAATTCCAAAAGCATCGTCCAGAATCTCATCTCTCAAAATCTTCAATCAAACAAAAATTCATCTCTGAGTCGACCGCCTTTCATACTCCAGCCCATCCAATTCCAACCCATCCCTGTCTTAGCTTCCAGATCGAGCCACCATCGAAAGAGCTTCACAATTCCTTGCAAGTATGGGTCTCGACCCATACTTGACAACCTAGTTTAGCCATGGCCTGCTCTTCGCCCTTGGTCAATTCCACAATTTTTTTTAGAAAAGATTTTCATTGGTGAAACTCTATCAATCTTCAAAGTATTGGGACCAAAATTAACCACAGTTGAAAGTACAGGGACTAAAAACGTATTTTAACCTACTTCAAGACTAAGAACGTTTTTCTTTTTCCTCTTGGGTAAGGTTGTGAGCTGAGCTGAGCTTATTTGCTGATCATACTCCACAACTCAACAGTGATAGGATTTAGAAGCCCTTTCCAGAATTCTCTCAAAGCTACTCTTGAATTTATGAATAAGCAATGGAGAGTGGATATTTATATAGGTATAATTGAACCTTTCCCTTTCCTTCTTCAAGAATTTTGTGCCACATTAGGAAGCGTTTTTATATTTTTCTTGGGCTTGGTTTTAGACTTCCTCTCGAAATTTCGCAGAGCCTATTTGAGATTAGGCTCCACGAAATCCAACAGTATAGCAACCAATCTATTTTTCTTGTTAGCAAATGAAGACTTAAGAAAAGTCAAGTTGAGATCATAATAGCCTAGTTGAGCTAGACCGGAGACAAATTAAGATCATAATAGCCCACCTAAGCATAGTTCAATTGGTTAAGATACGTATTTCTGATTAAAAGGTGTGTTTTTAATCCCTAACCCCACATATTGTGTTAGTTGTACTGAAAGGAAAAAAAAAAACTAGGATTATAATCCTATGAACTATTCAATAAATCTTAAGAATCTTTCTAGTACACAAACAAAATCGAACTAATTAATAGAGAGTTTGGTAGTAGAAAGTAAGACAATTTGTCTATCTTGGAGGATTCAAAAGTATAGGAAAGAAATCGATTAAAAGAGAAGAAGAAAGGTCGTGGCTCGAAAATTGCACTTTCTAAAAGCGAGATGACAAGTTGAAAAATAATTCACCTTCGACAAAAGAAATAAGAGACTACTAAATAACGTGACCCTCCATCCAAAAAGACATCAAATTTCATTCAAAATCTAGAAATAATATATCCGTATTGTTCCACCAAACATTTTATAAAATCGAACTACACAACAAAAGTCAACCTAAAAGTGTTGACTTATTTTTTATACAAAGTGGTAGGTAAAGAAAATACTAGGACATAGAGAGAAAAAAGAGAAGAAATTTTATTCGTCTTACGAATCATTCATCGTTGGATGACAGTGATCAACAATAGAAGAAACCAAGAGCACGGGCTTTCTTAGCCAGTATTGATCGAACCTCTGCCTTGCATACTCAAAGTAGTCAAAGTCAATCTTGTTGATGTGACCCTACATTCAAATTCACAAGATATAAGTAAACATGAAGAATTCTTTGTCTCATAATTAGTCACAAATGAGAAGAAATTTGAAATGACTAACTGAAATAATTCCCCACAAGCCCCAAAAGAGATGGTTGGGTAAAGTGTATTTCTCAGCCTCCTCCACTACCTCCTCCACTTCTTCTTCATTGGCTTTCCTCCCTGTTTTCATACATCCAAGACAATTATTATCTTAAAAAAAAATTAAATACTATTTTAATCTCTGAAATTTTGACTTTGGTTCATTTTAGTCTCTATATTTTCGAAATGTTTAATTTTTATTCATATATTGGGAGTCTTAAAACGTCTATTTTGATCTCTGTACTTTAAAAAAACTTATCATTTTTTAAAAGTTAAAAGTAGAGGGTCTAAACTGAACAAAAGTAAAAAATAAAGGGACCAAAATAGTATTAAACCATTTAAAAATATACACTTTTCAAATATTATCATTCTAAAACAAATTTTTACACCAAAAAGTTATATATATATATATATATATTTTAACTGCCCTAAGTCATTTTTTAAATTAGTTTTTAAAATTAAGATACAAAATAAATGAAAGAGACATATTTCCCAGTAATTTCCGTATCTTTTTTTTTTAACTATTTAGGAAATAGTTTTAAAAGATTATTGGACAAAATACATTTTTTGTCCCTGAGGTTTGAGGTAGATGTCTATTTGGTCCCTGAAGTTTCAAAATGAACATTTTTGGTCCCTGAAGTTTGAGATACGTGTCTAATTGGTCTATGAAGTTTCAAAGTAAACACTTTTGGTCCCTGAAGTTTGAGAAATAGTTCTAAATGGCCCTTGATTTTTTTACTGTTAATTAATTAATATTAAAATGATATTGCAAATTGTAATTAAATGATTATGTCCAAATAGCGAACGGCAGCAGCAAAGACGTGGTGGTCGTCGGAAAAGGGTAGGAGAAAGAGAGCGGAACAGATGAATAGATGAGAGAGAAAAAGTACCATCACCTACACGTATATTATTTAATTAATATAATCTACTACATCAGCAACTACAATAAACAATTTAATTGAAATTTGCAATGTTATTTTAATATTAATTAATTAATAGTAAAAAAATCATGCACCATTTAGAAGTGTTCATTTTAAAACTTCAGGACCAAGTTGACACCTACTTTAAACCTCAAGGACCAAAAGTGTTCATTTTAAAGACTAATTAGACACATATCTCAAACCTCAGGGACCAAAAGCGTTTATTTTGAAACTTCAGGACTAAGTAGACATCTATCTCAAACCTATTTTGCCGAAGATTATTTTATAGAAATAATATTCGAAAAAGAAAACCCTTAAAAAATATATAAATAACTCCGATCCTTGTTTTTAAAAAGGAAATTGTACTTTTCTTGTCATATCTATATGAATATAGCAAAAAGAATTGGATTTTGCGAATAGACGTCTTTCAGTGTCTCACTGAAGTCTATATAAGTGATAGAGTGAGATAAAATTGTGTTATATTTATAATTTTTTTTTTAATTTGTGCTAGATTTTCTATTATTTTGGACTAAATTGTTATTTTCAAGTATTATAGGGATGACAAAAAAAATGCAGAAACATAGGAAGATTTCACCTGTAGAAGTAAGATAAGCACGAACAAATTGTTTACGTTCCTTTAGATCTGCAAAACAACCATAGGAAGAATGATTAAGTAATGAAATTAATTTCTCCCCAAGCTAGATTAGAAAAATGTTCCAAAATTGACCGATAGATCGTAAAATAGCCCCCCAAAACGCTTAACGAAATACCTAAATCTAGCCACAAAATCATGTTCGAGTAGAACGAGTGGTGGTGGGAAATTTGAACTTATGACCTTTTAGTCAAACAATAGGTGTCAATTATCATGAAGTAACACTTGTAGAAATTTAGCTTGTGACGTTTTTTACGTCGTCACCTATACTCCCATCACGAAAAATCGGTTCCATGACGTTTAAAAAATGTCACGACAAAAGAGATATCATGATAAATTTAGATTTCGTGACGGTTAAAGAATGTCATGAAAACAAAATTCATAACTAGAAAATTTCATGGAAGACGGCTTTTATGACGTTTCGAAATCATTTTTTAGTGACATTTTTAAAATGATTTCGTGACGTTTTTTAAAGAAAGATAGATTCCGTGACGTTTTTTTAATGTCACAAGAAACTGATTTCATGACGTTTTAAAAGCGTCATAAAAAATATATTTCGTGACGGTCAGAAAATGTCATAAAACATGAGTTTGATGTTGCGAAAAAGACGTTATGAAAGATGAATTTAATGGTATCATGTCACGAAATAATTATTGTTCATTAACATAGCAAAAACACAAAGAAAGTATTTTTTTTAAAAAAAAAAAAACACAAAGAAAGTAGGATATAATTTGCTCTTACAATATTTACCAGGAAATCATGTTCAATATTCAATTACAAAATTCTCAACCTACCTGAAAAGTAAACATGACCAAAAGAAGTAGTATTCACAAAAATGATATCCAACCACAGCCTTAGGGAAAATAAAATATTTAGGATTAAAATTAACTCATCATGTCAAATATAAGAAAAAGAAAATAGAATTGTGCCCATTAAATTTGAAAATGAAGGCAAAGAAAGAAGGTACGGGGTGTGACCAACTCGAGAATAACTAAGTGGATGAGACACGTATTTCTATCCTAAAGTTCGATGGTTTGATGTCGTTAAATTCAAAAAAAGAAGAAGAGGGAGGGTGAGACCTGGGTATGAAGTGTAGTCCAAAATATGGGGAGTCTCAGAATGGTAATCTGCTGCCATTTCACAGAAATGATTTGCAATGTCATAAGCTATTGGATTGTAACTTGCATACTCATAATCCTGAAAAATTATTCAAAAAACAAAAAAAACAAAAATCCAAATTTTACAATAATTTTCAATTCATACTTAACCAAAAAAATTATACAAAATATTTACTTGGTTTCAACTTACTACAAATAATTTAGTCAAAACAAAAAAAAAAAAAAAGAAAAACTACGATACCATTTTTTAGATTTAAAAAATTATATTTGTTTACTCATAATTTTTTTTTTATACATATTCTTATTTCTTAAAAACACATCTGAATTTTACTCCTCGGGAGCTAGATAACCATTTCAGCTATGTTTTTGTTTACATCTTAAACTACATTTTAATAAAAGATAATTATAATGTGATGGTGAAGGCAAAAAAGAAAAGAAAAAATAAAAAAGAAATATCTTACAATTAGAGTTATTGATGATGTGTGTTGATCCATCATAATGTTGCCATATTGCAAGTCATTGTGACAAAAGCCAATGAGTTGAGAATCTTTGGAGAGTTCTCTTTGAAGCATATTTATTTCCTCCTCCAATGTCTCCAACCAAAATTCTTCCACATCAATTGGTGAGCTTAATCTTTTGGCTTCACTTAGCCAATATCTACAAAATATTAATATATATAAAAAAAAAGAATTATTATGCATCTTAGATGTGTTTCTTCGTAAGTCGGTTTTTTAATCCAGAGTATTTGGTAACAAATAAAAATCATTTTGAAATAATCAAATTGGTTTTAAAGGCGTGTTTGGGAGTGATAGTAGGAGGAGTGATAAAATCAACGTCAAATAATACCTTAAAAATCAATTTAAGGTGATTTTCAGCTTTTCTAAAATTAATTTTCTAATTTGCCAAACACGATCAATAAAGAGAGAAGTGATTGTCAAAACGAGCATAGTTCAATGGTAATTGACATATACCTCCAACCAAGAAGTTGTGAGTTCGAATTCCCGCCTCAACATATTGTACTAAAAAAAGTGATTTTAGCAATGGCAAAAGCGATGTTGGCCACTCCCAAACACACCCTAAATCATTTTTTTTAAATAATTTTAAAATTTGATTCTCCAAAAAAGTGATTAACTAATAATCACTTTATAGTAATTTGACAAAACAATGTAACTAAACACACAAGTATTTTGTTAAAACAATTTTTTTTAAAAAAATATTAAAAAAAAAGTTTAAGAGCATGTTTGGTAGTGATTTCTGCATAAATTTTTTCCATTTTCTTGTAACAAAACTGTTTTAAATTGAAGTGATTTTGGCGACGACAATACTAAAATCAATTCCAAACATGTACTAATATTTGACAACGAAATACAAGTGTCAACATGAATTTAGATGAACGATTAAGATACATTTTTCCTTCTCTAAAGGTCGAAGTCTAATATCTCATTCTCATATTTGTTGTACTAAAAAAGATAAAAAAAAATACACTTGTGATTTTCTTTTTCATTTTTTTTAGTACAAATACACTTGTGATTTTAAAAGATGACAAAACTAATTTTAGCATAATCCAAATATGTCTTTAAATTATAAGGTATGACAAACTCACCTTGATATCAATAAATTTATTATTTAGACTCCGTTTGATAATCATTTTTTAGTTTTGATAATTAAGCTTATAAATATTATTTTCACCTATGTATTGCTTTGTTTTGCTATCTATTTTTTTATGGTTTTTTTAAAGTCTAAACCAAAAATTTGAAAACTAAAACCAAAGTAGTTTTTTAAAACTTCTTAAATGTGTTTTTAAGAAATAGAAAAACATGCTAAAAAAAATTTAACTAGACCAGCATAATTTTTAAAAACGAAATCATTAACAAATGGTGTCTCAGTTTACCGATATTTAAGATTCATCCTATAATAATTTCTACGTTTCTATCCGCCTTGTATTTATGTTTGTTTTTAAAAATATTATTGAATACCTAATCAGACTTTTTCTTTTAAGTACAATATGGAAATGAAAATTTCAACTCACGACATTTTAGGTTATTTAACCAATTAAACTAAAAAAACCTAAACAAACTATAAAAAACAACTTTTTTAAAAAATATATATATTTTGATTGTTTTTTTATAATATTTTTATATTTGATAGTAATTAAAATAATTAAAAAAACTAATATAAAAATTTTTTAAAGGTGAAGTTCAAATAAATACCTCATTCGATCCCAAAGGACCACATTTTTGGGAGCAGGCATTTCAAGATTGTGAAACTCTCTCAATTTACTTGCTATAAGTGCTGATATTTTTGAGTCTCGAAGATCCGTTGCTGATAATGTCTGCAAATTAAAAAAAAGATTATTATTATTACATCAGCAGAAATCTTTTTTTTTTTTTGGGTCAAAATGTTAGTTTGGAGATTTATTCAGAAAAATAAACAAATTAATTAAAAATCAAAAGGCTAACATATAAGGAGAAAAATAGTTATTAAAGTTTAATATTAATATTAATAGATATGTGAGATTTAGGATTTGTAATAAATATTGATGAGAAAATAAATGTCATAAAATAAACTTAATTTAACAGATGTGGTATTGGAAAATTTTAATTTAAAAGTAAAATATTAATATAAAATATGAAACCTTTTAAGTTGAGATAAAAATTGGCACATTTAACCAACCATGATTATTAATTTAAATTTTTATTTCACCAAATTAAATCTTAAACTTGAATAGAAATTAAGTACCCTCTATAATTAATTTTTTTTTTCTGAAAAAAAAAGATTTAGCTAGTTATGAATATTTTATGGCTAGACAATATTATTTGTGTGTGTATTATATTTGGGTTATGATTGAGTTTGGACAATTTGTGACTTCAATATTTTGTTAATTGCATTTTGTGGGATTTACTAACTGATTCTTAGGTAGATTTTTTTTTCCCAATTTAGTTTCCAAGAGGTATAAATTTGATAACTTATTTAAGTTTATAAATCTATTTGATAAAATTAAAATTTTTAAATCAAAATTGAGTCGCCAAATTTTGAGTGTCACTCTAAAAAACACTAATTATCTCTCTCTCCTAAAAGTACTATTAAGTATTTTTTAGTGTTCTGTTATGAATTTGTTTAACAATTACTTTTAATGAGCTACAAATACCTTTTATCATTCAAAAGTCGTCTCAAACTCACACTCACATAAATAATAATAAAATTCTTTCCATTTTTTTATTAAAAATTTATATATTTCCTTTCCTTCTTTTATTAGAATATAACATTACAAATAACAAATGTGAGGTCAAGAATCAAAATCTTAAATAAGAAAGAAGTATCTCTTAAATTTTGACCCCTAAGGAAAGATTATGTGGGGTTTGGCTTTTGGTAGGACTTTTCTCAAATTTATTTATTTATTTATTTTTGGTTCTATTTGCGTTATTTCCCTATTTATTTTGGTTTTTCTAAAAAAAAATCCCTATTTATTTATTTATGGACCAAAGTATGGTGGGTCCACCAAAAGCATATCAATATTTGAGTAACTAATCATGTATCAATTTGTTTTGCAAAAATAAAAAAAATTAATAAAAATCATGTTTAGTACTAAAAAAAATTCATGTTTCACTTCTCTATCTCCAACTTGACCCTGACATGTCAACATTTTCTTATGTTTATAGATTTGATATTGATTTAAAAAATCAACATTTTTATTATATTATAAAAAAAATAAGATAGGAACATAATAATAATAATAATAATAATAATAATAATTTTTAATGTATTTAACAAAACTAAAAGGGGCTTGTTAATTAAATTTCATAATAACATTTTTAATTTTTATAAACCTTTCAAAATATACGTTGATATCAATATTTTCATAGATATTTTCATAAAATTAATATTCTGTCATTTCTGTCAACTTTGATATCTAAAACTTTGTTTGTATTGAAAGATAATCGTGACGGATAGAAATAGAATATTTTAGAGATTTTCATTATATGTATAGAAATTAACTTTTTTTTTTTGTGACAAAATATAGAGAAATTTACTTAGTGATGAGTGAATCATAGTGTTTATAATCTTGTGTTTATTTGTAACTCTAGTGCATTCATTCTATAATTAGACAATGCTTCTTTTCTCATAGGTGTACTTCTAAAATCATATCAAACAATCAAGACATAGTATCTTTTCTTAAAAAGAGTAAAATATTCAATATTTACCTATATACTTACTTGAGGGAATATAACCTAATTTTAAAAACCAAAGATTTAGAATCTTATCTTAGTCATGAAATTCCATGCTAATTTTACTTAGGTCGCTAAATTTAAACATGTTATTTTAGTCTTTGAACTTCGAAAAAAAAAGTCTAATTATTACTATTAATTGTGTTTAAGCAAAAAGAATTAGTATCTATATAGATGAGTGTTTTGAACTACATATGACTCGTCAATAATTGAAATTGGAAATATATTTGCTATTTTTTTAAACAATTAAGGAAAAACTTATAATCCATGCTAAAGTAACTTTTAACAAAGTTGAAGATACGAGGACACAAAATATTTAGAGATTGAGAGATTCGTTTTTTAAAACTATTTTCGGATTTATGATCCAAATCATAGAAATTCCGAAAACGAATTTTTTATGTTTTCAGTATTTTCAGATTTAGAATTTAAAATTTTTAAGATGCAAAATTATATTAAAAATGATAAAAAAAACTTTGATAAATATCTTAATTCATATTATAAATTCATTTTATGTTTGTTAAAATTAAAACAGGTAAAATATAATGTATTCTAAATTATATAAACTTGTAAAATAATAATTATACAAAATTCATAAAAATGTTAATAAATTAATTAATATAACTTTAGATTAAACTAAATCATTGAATCCTTTGTTTTCAAATATTTGTTTTCTTATTACCAATCAAATGCACCCCAACTTTTTCTTCACAAAGAAAATAAATATCATATTTATTAAACTGGTTGTTGTAGAAAAAAAAAAAAAGGTTTATTTTGGTCTACATACAAATGTTCATTTTGGGTTCGATATTTCTAACTTTGATTCATTTTAATTATTGTACTGTCAAAATATTCATGGTCCTAGTAATTTTAAAAATTTTAGGACAAATTTTACCCATAATGAAAACACTTTACTATAAAGTAATTGTTACATTTTAAGAAATATATTGAGTATAGTATCATGTTAAAATTGTGATAGAAAAAGTGAGATTAAAGATAAAACAAAGGAATCAAAATTGTCACTTTTTAAATTTATATAGACGAAAACGAACATTTTAAAAATTTAATTACTGCTATGAAACAAAATTGATGTTACAAGTACTGAAATAACATTTTAAAAGTACATAACGCAAATAAATCGAAGTTCAAAATAATTTTAAGAAAAGGTTAAAAACTCTCTTCTCTCTATTTTAATATTTCTCTGTTCTACTAATTAAAAATACAATTGTTGGTCACCAACAAATTATAATAATATTTTGACCCTTCAAGAGAAATACTCTTGCTCAACTATTTATTTATTAAAAAAACAAACATCTCTTCTCTCTTTCTCTTTTTCGCATTTCTTTTATAAATTTGTGAAAAACAAAACATTAACATTGGTTTTGCTTAACTAGTAAGAGGAAGTATTTTTCTTTTAACAATTATAAAATATTTAATAAAAGAAAAAAAAAATTGGAGAGAATTTAACATACCCTGGCGTGGATGAATTCTTCGACTCTTCCATGTGAGAATTGAGCGAGAAGGCGAGGGCCATGGCCGAGCTTCGACAACCATTCAAAAGTTCTGATCTCATCGTCTCTGTTGAAGAACACCTCCACTCCTTCTCCGTACACTCTCACCACCACCTTCCGATCTTCAGCACCGCTACTTTTCGGATTCTTCCATTTGATTTGGTACACCTCGTTCGTCATCGCTCCCGTTAATCGCCTCACTTCCACAGATTCTTCCGATTCCTCCATTGCGTCGCCCCACTCCGACCACGCCACTGCTCCGATTACCTTCGTCAGTTCCTCTGCCAGATTGCCTTTTGTGATTCCGTTCCACTTTATCGCCATTTTTCGACTCCTGGTTTTGATTGAATCTGAGTAAATCTGGTTTTGGCTCTCGAGATTGGTGGAGACGGAAATTATGGCGGTGATTTAGTGATTTTGATTGAGATGAGTTGGAATTTCTTTGTGAATTGATGGCGTGGTGAACTTCGCGGTGAGATTTTGAAGGATTCTAGTTCCAAATCGAAGGCGCAGAAGCTAAATTATTCACAGATTAGTCGATCCGATTTACAGAGATGAAAATCAAATTACCGGAAAGTAATTGAAATTCTAGCAGAAAAACTCCAACTCAAATCAAAAGAAAAACACGAAACACTCTGAATTCCTTGGAAAGAATATGCCGAAGAACAATGAATCCGAAAACAGGAAAGAAAGCAAGAGACGAAGCATTCAGAAAGTGAGAAATCAATAGCGTTCAGCCAGCCGAGAATTAGAACGAGGCAAGACGCAAGAAAAAAAAACACTCTGAAATCTTTATGATAAAGAACAATCAATTAGAGAATTGAAACGAAGCAACAGATCAAGCAAAGAGGAAGAGATGAAAATAACTCACACAAATCAGCGGAAGAAATCAATCGCGTTCATCAACGGAGAATTGTACGAACTGAGGTTTGAATTGAGATCGATTGTGAAGAACATTTGAAAGTTTTCTCTGCTTTTAAATGCAGACTTGAACTGGAAGAGAAAGTGACGGGAATTTCAAACCGACGGATTAATAGTCCACATGATATTTTGATAAAAGTCTCGAGTCATGCTGAAAACTTGACTCTATCCTCGCAGCGTATTTTCTCACTTCTAAACTTATATTTACGGTACTGAAAACAAATTAAAAATAAACCCAACTCCACTCAGAAATATTTATTTATTTATACGGTAGAAATTTAACCTTCAAAGACTTAAAAATTTATTTTTAAAAGCAGGGGGAGAATAAATAATCCGTAAAGAATTATTAAACGACATGAAATTAAAATTAAAATATCAATATATAATTTCATGGCGAGTAAAACGAATTTATTTTAAAATTAATAATATGTTCGGTCAGCTTCGCCTACATTTATTTTAGGTCAACTCTTGTATCAATTTAACCCCGTGGTTTTCATTTATTTTAATTTCAATCCAATTCCAACAATTTTATAACGGTCAAATCATATGAGGTTGGTTGGATTGATGTTTTTCTAGTAATCGAGTTTTTTGAACATCCCCTATCATATTCCACCATATTTTATGCGTACTGCTCTTTTCAGTTCAAAAACTATTAGGGTGGGGTTCGAACCGATCTACATGTTAATATGTGTTTTATCGATTTATATTTAAAAATTATGTTGCAATACTTAAAAGGTCACAAATGGGCATAAAATTGAACTTTTCATTTAGTTGTAATAACAAAAAAAAAAAGGGGGANCTATTTCTAGGTTACAATCAATAATCAACTTGCCAAAACCGACAGTATAACTCAACGGTAATTGATATATGTCTCCAACCAAGAATTTGTGAGTTTGATCTCCCACCCTCATATGTTGTATTAAATAAAATAAAATAAAAAATCAACCAACCAACCGTTTGAATTCAAAAAAATAAAATACTATATTTTGACCATAAGAGTACAAATGAAAGTTCAATTTATATCCCTAAATTAAAGTGGGTGAGTGAAACTTGAAGGGCCGGTTTGAGTTTTTTATTTTTGGTTTTTATTATTAGTTTTCAGTTTTTAAAAAACAAAAATTTGACAACTGTTTTTTATCTTTTATTTTTAAAAATCCGAAACCAAACATGTTTCATAGTTAGTCTTGACTTCACGTTTTTAAAAGGATAGACAGTTGAAGAGATATACTAGAGGGAGAAAAATGTATATATAGTAGATGTGACAAGAAGATGGAACAAGAGTTGCGGGCATACCTTCCCATCCTTGTCCTCGAGGAAATTTTGAATTCTCCGCCCCCCACCTCATTCTCTAGTTTCGAGAATGGAGGTTCACGTAGAGAAATCTTCGTTTGAGGATAGGGAACTTTGTGGAAAAAAATTATCGGTTTAGTAATTAATTTTTATTATTTTTAGAATTTAAAATATAAAAATGGTAATAAATATATAAAAATTAGTATCTTTTGGTATAAATAATTAATTTAGTAAAATAGTTGATAAAATATATATTTATTATTTAAAAAATAGAATCCCTAGTATAGCGGGTACCTGATAATCACAACTTTATCCTCGATATCTCATTTCTTGTTCTTCTCTAAGTTTTCTCATCCTCACAAGTGATTTGACCATTGAAAAATATTGTAAGTCAATAATTGTCTTGTTCTATCCATCACATCCCTCGAATCTCACCTTTGATTCTTCAATATGTACCAAAAACAAACTCCTCCATGATGAATGGTTCAAAGTTAATCGGTCAATGCCGTAATTGGGGAATCCACCTTGTGGGGAAGAGATTTGTTTTTGCTTTTTCTAATTTTATTGGTGGGAAAAGAGGTCCTTCGTAATTATATTGATGTGAAATAAATTTAATAACATAGCACCATTGACTATGGTATCGTTTTACCAATACGGGACCCTCCACTTTTTAGTCCATCAATAATTAAAAATAAAATTTAAAACTTTAATATTTGGAATAAAATATGTTTTTATCTTAGTTTCAAAAACGGACAATTTTATTTCTAATCTATAGAAAATTGTTTTAAAAAGTTGCTCGAATCAAACTTCCACTAGTGTCACTGGTAGATAGTGTTGATCCGTAGAATTTAAAGGATTAGATGACATTTCTTAATGTTTTTATTTTAAATGACGTGACGTGACGTATGAGATTTTAAAGACAACAAATAAAAAAAAATGTAAAACCATAACTAAAACTAACATAGAAAATATCAAAAGACAAAACTCTAGGTGAGGAAGACGAAGAAGCAAAGATTTTGATAAAGACCGAAGTGAAATTCTGAAAAGGCTTAGGTGAAGGTGAAGGAAAAATCACAAGTTGTACCCCTCAAAATTCAACCGCGTATCTATTCTTCCACTTATATATTCTAAGTGAAAGATCCAACTTAGGCTAACTTGATCATTGGAGACTTTTCTTCTCTCACGTAGGTCAGCCTTACCAACCAGACCTTTGCAAGACGATCCATTTATCGTGATCAAACAATTTTCTTGGAATCAAGGACCGGTAAGTCTCAAAGGTTAAAAAGTTATATATTTACTTGATATAGCTCATTTATTCTTTTTTCTTTTGATTTTAGGAATCTAGTTGCAAGTGTGGAGTAGACAAAACATTTATTTTTCTTTTAATTTTTTGTTCCTTATATTTTGATCATAATATGTAATAGTAGAGTTACCATATGGAAGAATTAAGAAAACATAGAATCGTTATCTTGTATTTTCTATGGTTTCTTCCTTTAATTTCAAAATATATTTGTCATCATTATTAAAGGATGCTTTAGAAATGGAGGAATGAGAAGGAAATATTCTCTTGTATTTGTTTTGATATTTTATGTTTTTTTAATACAAACATGTGGGGTGTGTGATCGAACTCACGACCTCTTAATTGGAGATTTTATGTTCATTCATGGGACTCAACATTCATGCATAAGAAAACATTTTATGTCAAAGTGGCTTGAATTCAATAAAATTTATTTTCTTGCAATTATAGGCGTGATTTACTAAAAATTTTTTAAGGACCCGTTTGGTAACGTTCTCGTTTCTTATTTCTTGTTTCCAATTTTATTAGGAAGATTAGCTATGTGAAAATGATTTATGTTTCTTGTTTTTCATTTCTCAGAAACATTCTAAAAATTATATAAAAATTTTAGAAATGATAAAAAAAAGTTTCTGGTTTCTGGTTTCCTTTCCAATACTATCATTTTTAAATCGGTAGGGGTGCTGAGGCCATAAAATTCTTATAATCTTTATAAAATATTGAAAAGATATAGGAACAAAAATTATAAAATTAATAAATATTATCTACCAATTAAATAGCTAAATACTATACTATATATTTGTTAATATTTTGGTAAATTTAAACTTATAAAATAAATATGGTTTACCAATTAAATCTATAAGGGATAAAAAGAATCTAAATTATATATATATATATATAATAACATGTGGACTAGTTGCTCACTCTCCTCACATCACTTCAAATAATCATTCACTAGTCCAATATATGTGTCGTATCAATATTTAAGTAATTAAAACACAATAATTTATTAAAACCAAAATTAAAAGCAAATCTAGTTTAAATCAAGGATGAATAAACATGACCATCATAATCTAATGAGTAAATTTATAAGTTTAATCAAAATTTGTAAAATAGTTTACAAAATTTTAATCTTAGTCATAAAATTTAATGTAAAGTTCAACAATTAAAAAGGGGTGGTTCGATTGTTTTAAGAAGTTTATTTTAGGCATGTGTGTAGATAATCAAATAAAATTGGCCATAGTTTGGCTAGAGAATATTTCAATAACCGAACAGCTGATTTTTGTGTTGAAGCTAGTGTCAATCTTCTGTAGCCTTAATGGCGTGTTAGTCTTTGAATGAAGTTTTATTATAGAAAAAAAACAATTAAAATTTTTAAATTTTTCGGACCAAATTAAAAAAAAAACACTAAAGTTTGAGGACTATATTTAAATCTAAAAATATTATTTCAAAATAATAAATAGATTATAAATCAAAATTTTATTTTAGTACAATGGTAGGGTGGAAAGATTCCAATCTCAAATTTTAAGGTCATCCGTTGTAATTTCAAACAATTTAGGAGTGACAATTATTAATAATTGAACGAGTTTAAGCCAAGTGATTATCAATAATTATAAGTTATGTGGTGGACTCCAACAAAAATAGATGTGTTCATTTTTTTTTCTTTTTATAATAAAATAGTTGTATCCATTTGGCTCATAAAATAAAAGTTGCAGATTCAACCTAATTTATATAAAATATAATTAAAAAAAATTGCAAATTGATTAACATGGTTACACTCATTTTTAGCACGTAAGCTAATATGTAATTGCTATACTTATAATTAATTTTTTTTGTCTCTATAATAAATTCGTAGGTAGTTTAATCATCGATTAAAATAAATCAATTACTAATATATAAAATAAAAACATATTGATTATCGTTATCAAACTTATTTATAATTATTCGTTTAACAAAAATATCTGCCTACAAATATATCTTTAAATGGAATTACCCATTGAAGTTTTCCACTAAAGAAAAAAAGGATTTTTCTTTCTTTTTTTTTTTTTTGTGGATGCCCTCATGAATAATTTCCAATTCTAACTACCTGTTGACTTTATCAAATAATACAAAATTCAGGGTGGGTCCATGTATTTATTATTATTTTTTTAAAGGTAGTTTGATTGTGTGACAAGTAAAATATATTAATCTAGGGATTTTATTACATTTGCACCAAGAAGTTGGTTAAACAGAAGAAAAGAAATAAAATGAAGTCTTTGACCCCAAAATTTGGAAGACTTTCATTGTGATAAATACATTTCTAGCCCTTGATCAAAATAGTTCCTTGTTATTAATTCTTTTTAAATAAATTAACAAGAAAGTTGGCATGGTTATCGACATTAAAGATTGGTGCGATGTCCATGAAATTAAAAATATGTATTATTTAATGACGAGTCAAATTATAAATGAAAGACCTACGTACTCTCATAGTACTAGAAAGTTTCTTGGAGACAAGAAATATCTCAAAACGAGTTTTATCCCATAATTTTTTTCTTTGGAAGGAAAGTCATGGAAAATGAGGTTATGCGAGAATGATGTAGGGTCATGAGATTG